CGTAAGCATAGAAAGCTTCTGTGTTCTCTTTGGCCCATCTGTCCAAAGAGACGTCTCTCTCCAAGAAGTTCTCTTTGGCTTCAAGCCTTCATCTTGAACGACCAAGTAAAAAATAGAGAAAAAAACAATGTCGACCCAGAACAGAGGAGGGAAGATTGCTTCTTAAATTCAGATTATACATTCAAAATTGCTTCTGTAGTGATTCATTTGTCCTCTTACTCATGTGTAGCCACCCAAGTGTGTTGGTTACACTTTTACGTTATAACTTTTTTTTTAATGTTCTTTATCGTTGTACTTGATTTGCATATTGCAATGCAAACTTATGCTTGAGTTCTTCTCCTTCTCTGTATTATTTTTGCCTGAATGTATACTTTGATGCACTCCAACTGTTCGATGAAATGCTTATTTGGCTCAATAAAGGGTAGAAGAGAGTGAATGTTCTTCAATGTCTCTGAGTTTTATCTATATTGAGTTCAAGCAAAAGCAAATTCCCAAAGTAATTTCAAATCTTGCTCTTTAACATGCTCAAAGTGACATAGTGCTCATCCCTTCTTATAGAGGAATTGCCAAATGAGGGAGCGATCAAATAATCCCCCCCCTACTATGTTCTTCCTTAGGGATGTCAGTGGACCGAAGCGGGGGCGGAGAGTGTAGTCTTCATCCTCGTACCTACTTAAAAAAACTTCGTCCATCCCCGGTCCACTCCCATTAATAAGTATAGTTTTTATCTTCATCCCCGCTTCCCCGTACCCACCTAAGCCCAAGCCCAAACCCAAACCCAAACCCAAACCCAAGCCTAAGCTCAAGCCCAAGTAGCATAATCCAAAATTTTAAATAAATTCAATATTTTAAATAATCTAACAATATTCTAAATAATCTAGCACAACATAATGTAAATAGTAAAATGTAAAAGTCAAAATAATATAATATTCTATTTAAAGTGTCATTGGACCATAAAAAGAGAAACGGAACTATTAGAGAGAAATGAAGAAAAGGAAAATAAAATTGAACTAAGAAAACGATAGCACTATACTTGAAGTTTCCTACATAATTTTTTATTATTACAATTCATATTACAACCATAAAGTGTTAAAAGATGAAAATATAAAATTTCGCTAATTCAATAATTCTCTCCATTTCTTAGTTCACTCTAGCAGAGAAACTCATCAACCTTCATTCACAATATTTCTACCCACGAAGAAATCTAAAACTATTTTACTCTCTCTTATCTGTTTTTAGAGCGTGTTCAATTCAAACTACTAACAGTTTCAATCAGTGAGCACAAAAAGAAAAAGAACAATCAGGCAAAAAAGTTGATAAGATTATCACATAGCAATGTCACTTGTTAGTTTGATTACCATATTTCTAGATTGGTAGTTACAGTAAATATATTTAGTTAGGGCTTGAGAGTATATATATATATAACAGGTAGAGGGGGCGGGGGAAGGGGAGGGGCGGGGGTAAGGGTAAATCCATTCCCACCTTTAACCTTGTATGGGTTTATACGGATATCCCCGTATACGTCCACCGTCTAATACATATAGTCCATCCCCGGTTCAAATGAGGCGGGTTTGGACAACTACCCATTTTTTTCCGGTCCATTGTCATCCCTACTAAACGTAGTGCTGCCCACCTTTGTTCTTGTTTGGTGGAAGTTTTGGCTCAAGGCAGCTACTTCCCCCCATTTATTTTGTCCAGATCATTGTAGGTTTGTTGCTTAGGTGAATTTTTTGAACAACTTTGACATATTTTTTTGCACATATTGAGGGAGCGATCAAAGAATTATTATCTCAGAGTTTGGGTCTATGATGAGGAATTTGGATTGAAGTTTAAGCTCAAGGCCTCCACTTCTTCTAAATTCTATCTTCGGGGAACACCGACTGTTTTTTTCTTGCATGACCATTGTTCTTTTCTCATGGCCTGTGTTATCTTTTGATTTTTTTGACATGGTCACTGGGAATGCCTCACATTATTTTTGTAAGGGTCATCCCTTTTCTTGTACACTTTTTTGGTCAATTGAAATTTTACTTTTTGAAAAAAAAAAAAGGCTATTGCATAGGCTAACCAAAAAATAATGCCAATTAATTTTTACCAATATCACGTATAACCAAATAAATAAGCTAAAACTTAAAGTGTTTTGTTTTATTAAATCTTCTATTATTTATGTAATGATAAAACTCATAGAAATAAACGAACCCAAAAAATTAATCTCATACATCATAACTCCATTTCCAAAACAAAACAAAACTAATAAAAATATGTTTTCTTTGTCTTCCATTTGACTTTGAAGTTGCACCAAAAATTGTTGTATTTTCCTTCGCATTGACTTTTGCCTGCACAAACCAAACTAATATATCTTTAAAATGTATATAAATGGATCCAAAAGCTGTTGAACAAACAAGAAAACTAATAGAACTTAAAATGATATATAATGAATTCATATCTCACTTATTGGCTTGGACACTCTAAACCACCCTTGCCAACATCCCCATCCCTTCCTGAATTTAGGCTTCCATATATATAGAAAAAATTCGAAAGAAAGTTAAAGTGCATGGAGCTGTGAATTAGACGAAAATTAACAAATGAATCTCGTACTGCCTGTTGTATGATATCGGACAATTGTGTAGTATCATTGATTTCAAATATTGTTGTAGAGTAGAGAACATGATCCATACCATATATACCTCTCCAATGTGAAAGTGCTGAGCCTAATTTTAAAGAACGCACGTTAAATGCAACACACATTTTCTATTAAATAAAACAAATATGACATACTTATAACATATTTTGGTGTGAAAACCTAGAATGTGTCATGTTGTCCAATGTATATCCACTTCTATATTCATATGCTAAAAGAGTAAAGCTTCCCCCATACAAGGAGGGTGGGTTGGCCTTCATAACACATAATACACCACAACTAAATAAATTGCTCATAGTAAAATGTTAAATATAATTTCTCAAATTAGTAAATACAATCTTGTACCTTTAAAGCAATGCTTTGTTGAGTCTCAACTATGTCAACAACTTTTGTACTTACTGCATCATCAACGTTACCAATTTTGTTGCCTTGGACCATGTTAGAATCCTACAAAAAATTTATAAAATTAGCAATATGAACAAAATACAAAGAATTAATTTAAAAATCACATAATTCAAATATTTCACACCTTCATATAATTCCCTGCATTTTTGGTTTTTGTCTTTGCTTCCATCGTTTTTTTCTTTTCCTCCTTTTTCCTATTTACTTGATCGACCTTAGATTGCTTCCTTTTATATGGTGGTCGCCCTTTAGTACGAACTACCACTAGAGCAAGTATATTTGCATTCTCTTTTGATGTTGGATTAACATCACTACAAGCATTTGTTGCCCCAACATTCATATTGGCAGTAGGTTGACTACTCTTACCAACACAATCATATTTTTTTAGGTCTATTTCCAATTCATTTAGCCTCTGCATCACTAACTCTGGTCTTTTCTTCAGAATCAGTTGCCAAGTCTACATCTGATAAAATGTATTACACATCTTGTCAAAACACCATGCTTCAGGTTTGACACTCCAATCATCATAATTAAACTTCACCGTCGTGTGACACCTTTTCAAATTTTTTCTCCATCGTTGAATGATGTATTTTTCTGGAATCACTAAAATCTTCTTATGAATTAGCATTGTGATTGCATGTCTACATAGAATGCCTCTAAATTCAAACAAACGACAATTGCACTTAATGTCATAGTCATCATGAATTAAAGAAACTTTAAAAGATGCACGCCAATATGATTCCTCAACCTTTATATCTTCAGATATTTCATACTCTGGAAAGGAATCATTATCTTTAACCGAAGACAATTCACAATATATCTTCCCTTTTGATTCATGTTGAAACTCTTTAAATTTTGCTGTAGTATAAGCATCTTGAAACTGCTTCTCCATGGCATAATGAGTTATACAAGGAATCCAAGAATTATAGGAGTTGAACTCTTCTTGGTTCTCTTTGTCTATCTTGCTTCGTAATGCATTTTCATACTATTCAACAAATTGTTTTAAAGTAGTTTTGGAATTGAAATATTCATAAAAAAAATGTATGCATGCTCTCACTGCATTGTGTGGTAGACATTCCTGCCCAAAGAGTATCTTTCACAAATGATGGCACCCATCAACGCCTCTCATCATACAATCCAAGCAACCACTCATTGTTTTCAAGATTATATTTCTCAATCATTTTATTTCACCGTTCTTCAAATTATTCATTGGTCAAACGGTCATATACAACACTCTACAATGCAAACTTGATTGACTCATATTGTTTATAACCTCTCAACTTTTTTGGCAACTTCTTCATTATATGCCACAAACACCACCTATGGCGTGTATTGGAAAAAATAATCTCAATTGTTTTTTGAATTGTCTTTTCTTGGTCCGTAATTATTGCATTTGGAGTACAACCAGACATGCAAGCAACCCAAGATTGAAATAACCAAGTAAACATCACAACATTCTCGCTTGATACCAATCCACATCCTAATAAAGTCAATTGGCCATGGTGATTGACCCCGACAAAGAAGCAAATGGCATGTCGTATTTATTCGTAAAATATGTGGTGTCAAATGTAATGACATCATCAACAAATTGTTCTACTCCTAGCATCTACCCAAAATACTTTCTTAAACGATCCTCATCATCCAAATCCATTATGCAGAAAAAGTTTGAATTATCACCTTGCATTTTCAGGAAATAGTTGTGAATCACAATAGCATCTCCTTCCCCAAGGCGCAATCGCCTTACTTTGTCAATAAAATTTCTACAATCTTCTCCAAAAAGGGAACATTCTCATGCCCACCCGCTTCAACCACAATAGAATTAAAGTTCTTCTTAATCCAAATTCCAGCTCTGTCATTCATTTCAAGTCTTCTTTTGATGTATAGCATATTATTCTATTGCATTGATAGAAACGAGATTTGAACGGACTCAACCCATGGTTATGTGCAAGCATGATGGGAGTCACTCGCCACTTGCCTTCGGGACATGTAGTTGCTCTCTCAACTTAGCTTTACAGTCATTTTTGGTGATTAGATGCATTTGGAAGGCATTTCTTGATGTAGACTTTGACATTTTCGAGCGAGAACATGCAAATGTCACATATCTTAGCTCTCCATCATCTCCCTTTGACGATGTTCTTGTTTTTATGGAAAACTCTAGGCCATTATCATATTTTATGTAGTACTCCATTATTTTGCCAACTGTATTAAACATCATTCTCAATTTTGTCTCTTCTAATTTTTCTTCTACATTGATTGTATTATCAACTTCTTTCTCACAAGTATTACCATCCATCTCCATACTTGTATAGCTAGTTGGAATTTCTCCTTCCATTCATATCCAATAAAGACCAAAACATAGATAATCAAAAAACATAGAAATAGTAAATTGTCATTGGAATAAATAGTAGATTGTCACTCTTAAAGTTACTATCAGTACATCAAACGTCAGCGAGTATGAGGCCATTGTCAAGCAAAAGTTGTCAAAGATGAGATTTGACAATTATGCATCAGGTGCAGAGGACTAGTGTAGTCTGGCAAAGAACAAAAATGCATTCTTAAGAATTATGTAAGCTTCCTATATTGGTTCACAAAGCTTTAATCCCTAAATTAAGATTTTGGTTATCCGTTTGTGAATTTTTTTGCTTTCTGCTACAAGCTGACCTCTGAAAAAACTTTGCTAATGAAATAAAGGTTTCGACCTCATATTCTTATTGATGTGAGCAAAATAGACATGGCCACCACTATCGTGGGCTTCAAGATTTCAATGCCCATCACCATTGTGCCAACAGCCATGCAGAAAATGGCTTACCTTAAAGGTAAGTAACAATTTTACCTTGAGCTTATACTTTTTTACACACGAAGTTAAATTCTAACTGTTTTTTTTTTTGGGTCAGAAAATTCTCACTATGTTTGATGGTTAAAATTCACCAACTGGCTTTATAACAGGTATGCACATTCATTGTCCATAAAACAACCAACTATTCCAGCAACATTCTAAGCCATTTAATTTAGAGTTTTTACATAAGTATGAAAGTAGTTTTTCCAAGTGATAAAATAGTATTATGAGATCAAAGATAGAAAGATTCAAAAAAAATACAATGAAGCCAAATAAGCATTTAATCAAGCAGTTGAGGTGCATCCAAGGTTTTTTGTACAAAGTCATACAAAGTCTAAGAGTCTGGGGAATACCTTGAACAATAAAAAATAGAGTAGATGTTTCTGAATTTCGAGATAGATTACTTTGATCTGGGTCCAAGAAGATCGATGTGAAACAACCTGCTTCTCCAGCCACTAGTGGAAGTCAAAAATACCTTGAACTTCTTGGAGAGAGACGTCTGTATTTGGTAGTTCAAAGAGAACTTCTTGGAGAGAGACTTTCTCTTTGGCTTCTTGGAGAGAGACGTCTCTTTAGACAAATGGGCCAAAGAGAACACAGAAGCTTTCCTATGCTTACGTTTTTTTGGCCAAATAGAACTTCTTTTCTCTGTTTTTTTTTGCCTATGTGTGTTAGGGAAGCGGAGAAGACGAAAAGATTTTGCCCCAAATATTAATCTTGCCTAGGGGTGTCCATGGGTCGGGCCGGGCTAGACCTGCAAAATTTTTTGGTCCGGGCTGGGCTTCAAGTATGGGTAGGCTACCCGTAACTCAACTCGCGAGCTTATTGGGAGGGTCTGCTCACTGGTTTTTTACATACAACTTCATTTAAAATTAATGAATATTTTTGTAATTTAATATTTGTGTAAATTATATTTTTGAATCAAAAATAGAGCCAAAATAAATAAAAATAAAATAATAAATTATTTTATTTTTAATTAAGGGATGAACTACATCCAATAGAATGATTATATCTCAACTAAGTTGACACCTACTCACTTATCTATCATTTGCATTACTCTACCCTTTAAAAGTTAAAACTTGTATGCTTAATACATGAAAAATAAAACAATACATTATTTATAGTATCTAAATTTTTAAAACTTCAAATTTCAACATTAGGAGACTTATTTCATAGTTTCAAATTTAATGGTATAAAAGTATAATTTTTTTTTAAATAAAAGGTGGGTGGACTATATAGGCTGGTTGGGCTTAGCGGGCGAACTCTTGGGCCAGGATTTATGCCGAGTAATGGGTTTGAGGGCAAACCCAAGTCCTATTTTTAAGGCTATTGAGTTCAAGCTCAGGCGGGCCAACTATCGAGCTTATCAAATTTTGGGCCGGGTAACGAGACCCGTGGGTAACCCAGCCCATGGACAACCCTAATTTTGCCTAATCAGCCTTCCAAATCAGCTGTCATGTCATTTGGACTCTTTATTTTAGTGTTTTAAAACCCGGCCTGACTCAGCGGGTCAACTCACTGAACCGATCCCCTAATCGGGCCGATTCTGACAAAAGACCATTTATGCAAAGAACCTCGGATTAACCCGTTGAACCGGTCAAAAATCGATAAACATGTGAGAACTGGATGAGTTTACCAAACCGGAAGGTTTAACTCCATTTGTATAAATGTGATATTCTTTTCATCATTTGGGCATTTTGTGGATTTTTGCCCTAAATCAATCCACCAGACCAGACACCAGCGACAACGACTGAGCACAGCCTCCACCACCAACCAACGACTGAGCTCAGCCTCCACTACCAACTGAGCTCAGCCTCCACCACCAACGACGACTGAGCACAGTCCAACTCCAGCCTACACCAGCGAGCAGCAGCAACCAGCGACCTTTTGATTTCCAGACCAGACACCAACGACCAGCGATTTTCAGACCAGACTCCAGCAAGCAGCGATCCCCTTTTGAATCCAGTCCAGTCGACTCCAGCAATCCCCTTTTAAAACTATGCTTTGAACTATTCTTGAAACATTAGCTTTTTTCATTCTCTAAGATTCCGAGGTTCAAACCTTTGAATTCATGCTTCGTGTTCTCGATCATCACGATTCAATGGCTAGAGCTAGACTGAGGTATTGTCGATGAAAACGAAGAGGTATTAGTCCTCAATATTTCAATTGTATCATTTTGATTCCTGAAGTATTAAATATATTTTTATATGGTCCCCCAAACAAACAACATCTAGATTGCGAATTATTTTTATCAAAAATTTGTCATATAATACCTAAATATGGATAAAAAATAATTTGAATAGCTCTTAACCAAAAATTTGGGTAGTTCTTTACAAAAAAAGTGTATTATAGGTAGCTTTTGACCAAAATTTGAAAATCTCATGATCACAAATGTGTAAATTGGGTTTTTTTTTGCCCATATATAAGTATCACACGACAAATTTATGATAAAAAATCGTTAACAATCTGCACGGTGTCTGCTTGAGGGACCATATAGAAATATATTTAATACTTCAGGGACTAAAATAATGCAATTAAAATATTATAGACCAAAATGAGATAAACTTCATACTTTGAGGACCTTCATTGCAATTAACCCTAATATATATATATATATATATATATATATATATATCTATACATTTCTTCGATGAAAACGAAGAAATGTATGATTGGATTGAGGTATTGTTGATGGAAAATAGTGTAGGAAATGTGCATATTCAGAAGTTTTATGGTTTCTATTTAATTGCTATTTGTAGATAAATTAGTTCATTGTGTTATCTAATTAGGGTCATTTGTGATTTGTTTGAATTTGTAGTTGGTGTTTTTCTTTTTCTTTTTTTTTGCAAAAATTTTAGCTACAAATCTAAAACTTTGCCTGTGAGTATGTATGGTGGAACATAACAATCGGGGATTTTTTTTGGGATGTTTGCATTGAGGTGTTGTTGATGGTGCTAAGATTTCCAAGAAAACCAGATCTTTGAATATTTAGCATATTTATTATTATTTATAATTATTTTTTAATTTTTTATTATATTACCGGTCTGACTAGTGATCCAACGGTTGAATCAATGACCCGGTCCCTTCATCGGATTGATGTCCGGGCCGGGTTTTAAAAATATACTTGATTTAGTTCCTAATTTTGGTTAGCGTAACATTAATGTAATAAAATTAGTATCAATAGAGTATCAAGCAACATGAGAAACAACTTCAAGCAATTAATTTAATTTGTCTATCTTGATAGTGTGCTTGTGTTGTTTGATTAGGTTTGACTCTCCAAATGTATTTAAATAATGAGTCAATTAGAGATGAAATTTTAAGAGTTTAACTCTTTATAATAAAAAAAAAATAAGTAGGAATAGAGATCTTTTTTGAGATGTTCTTACTCGATAAAAAATTGACAATCAATAGCAACTTAGAAACTTTAGAACACCAATTACCTCAATGAAATTAAAATTGTAAATATAATCTCAAAATACAAGTAAATCTCGCATTTTGAATATTACAATCATTATATTGAGATTCGTCTATATTTGATTTCCTCAAACATCCGAATCTCCATCATTTCAGTAAAAATCGATAAATTATATCTCCAATTATACAATGCAAAGCTCTAATTATCTCAATACTATTACAACTCATAATCTCAATGCCAAATAGCAATAAATCTCTCACTCTCGATATTTGTCTATCTTTGATTCCATAAATATTTTAGTCTCGATCTTTCCTTCAAAATTAACCTAAAAAATAAATTAAGTAGGAGAATATAAAATACGATACTTATAATATAAAACAGAACAGACTTCAATAAGTCAATTCGACAATTTTAAATAGACTCATCCAACAGTCACACTCATTCATCTTAAAATCATTTACATTGAACTATGCTTTCAGACACAACAAGTTATCCCTAATTATATCCTCAATAACAAACGTACAAATAATCAAATATCAAACAACTCAAGAATCACGTAAACATCAAATATCTCAAATAGTCAACAAACTCATACTTTACATATAATATGCTAAGTAAAACCTAAGCATAGACTTGGAACCTCACCAATTACCCTATCTCAACCGGATCCCACAAGTCTCTTGAACTGGCGATGCATTGGACTGTTGACTACTAAAATATAATCACCAATCCACACAAGATATGATCAATGTACTCAACAAAATATAATTGAATTTTCGAAATCACGATAGCTCAACCAAAGAGAATTCAAATTGGAAAAAATAAAGAGTTACTTTTTACCAAGAGATTTAAGAGAAAACATATTATATATTATCTTGTACCTCAAAATCGTCAATTGACCCTATTAGATATGAATTTCGAGATATCACACAAATAAGAGCATTTTTAACTCTGATTCAAATTTAGACTCAAATTTAAATTTGAGTAAAAAAAACTCAAAAAACTTGTTCCAACATTTGGCTCAAACTTGTACAAAATTAAGGGAGACTCATTTTTTTACTCAAATCCTTAATTGTGAGATTTCACTCTCTTTTAAAGATCTAATGACCATCTTTATTCTATTTTAAATTTGAGTTTACTCTCATTTAAATTTGAGATTTTCTTTCTTTAAATTTGAATTTCTCCATTAGAACTCTTTGTATCAAATCAAGTTTTTTACTCAAATATTGATTTAAATTTGAGGAAAATTTTGATTCATAGTTAAATATGCTTTAACATATTCGGATTTGGTAACAATCTGAACTAAAACCATCATTCGATGAAGCTTACTTTTTCTATCTTTTTGTTTCCCTCTCATCTTTCTCTCTTGGTTCCTTCCTCTTCGTTCTTTTCTATGATTACTACGGGTGAGGGATGATCTAAATTTATAGGCTAAGACAAGGAGAAGATGTCCATTTGCATAGCTTGAATCCATAGCTATGCAAATCCTTGCTAAGACAAGGAGAAGATGTCCATAGCTTGAATCCTTGCTCACTTTGACACATCAGTCTCATGACTCACCCATCACATAGATACATAGATTAGTTACATAAACATTTGTCACTCAAGTAACAAAAAATCATACACACACACACTTTACTTCCTCATGCTTACAAATAGAATCCATTTTTCCAAATAAGTTAATTAATCCTTTCATCCTCTAAATTCCTCAAAATTTTGTCACCAATTATGACCATGATTTTATAAAAATCCAAGATGTTACATTTTCCTCATCCCCATCCTTGGCTTAAGCTGAATTTTCCTTTTAGCTTTTTACTCCTCTAAGGAAAAAAATGTTTCAGTATCCTTGAGCTGGACCGCCTTGATAACGATCCGAGAGAGTCCAAGGGTTCCAGTAAAGGCTTTAAAGGGACTAACCCTCCAAGGCAACACTAACAAAAAATTAGGAACAAGCCGCATAGCATCATTAACAAATATTTGGGACTAAGCCGTCTCCTTAGAGGTTCCATAGCAAGAGCTCCTGTATCGATCACGGTTCAAATTATCGACCGATATCGATACAAGTCAGTTAAGTCGTATCCGACTTGGCACCTTCTTATACGATACCGTTATATTCCGCGATGCCAATACGGTTCGACCTGAATCTCTCGTCATGTTCAACATTTTCTTTAACGTCGTATCGTTCGATACCGCACTGCAATGCTGTGACCAATGTGTTTCAGATTTCTCCGAGTCAATGGCCGATATTACGACCTTAAACCATGGTACCAGTATCACCAGCATGTATGAAAGCTACCAGATAATCAAATAGTTAGCTCAACTTTGCCGTCTCTCAAAAGATCCTGCATATGAGGCTGAAGCGTTAGACTGCAGTTGGGAAAACAATGTCTCATTGCCATGAAAAATTGTTTCACACGGCTACTTCAAATGTAATTTTAAAATAGAGGAAGTAAAGCAACAGATAGCAAAACACCAGTAGTAAGAGTTACTCAAACCATGCATACAAGTTCTGGAATTTTAATAAAGCATGATGCTTCAATGACATTCCTTTCCTTCAGTCTCCTAAGACGCCATTCGCTCCTAAAAATAATTCTACTTGTTTAGCATGAGCTTATGTTTTTGTTGGATCCAAAATAATTTTAGTTGACCTGTATTCAAGGAGACCAAGTGTAGCAGTACAGTAAGAAGACTATGCTGTCTTAGTAACAACTAACAAGAGATACGCCGGAAGCATCTCTTCAACTTACATGGTGATTGCTGGGAATGTCAAGTTTCTCCAGATCTATGACACATGTAGATCATACCTTGTTTTGTGCAAATAAGTTACAGGGAAATTTTGATAACTATTTATGACAATATTGATTCAACTAAAGTTCGAGGTGAAGTACCAATACAGATAATGGAGATGTAACATAAGATAGACATATTTCCAATGAAGAACGTATGTAATCATCCAAAAATTTCAAAAACATTAATCAAGAATTACAAAATCTGTAACCAGGCGATCTGTAATGTCTGACTCAGCTATGTGTCTCAAAAATGAAAGACCCAACCACTCTTACTCCTATGTTGCCATTAAAATTTGTGGTTGTGCAAAGAAAATGAAAAACTCAGTGCTTTGATCTAATGACAGTGATGTAGTAGGAAAGAAATAAAAGACGGATCATATGCCTAGTTAACCTCTTTCTCCAGTTTTTCTTCTTATGATCATACTAGGCAGCATAATCATCTTAACAGAAAACTGTAATGAAATAACACATCAAACTGTCTGTTCTAGTGGACGTTGCTTCATATCCAAGGTCATACAAGAATTCTCTTTTCTTTTCTGCAAGTCTACACAAGAATTCAATTCAAAATACCTAGTCAATAACTTTGACAATTGCTCTCTCGTACCTTGCTTTGATCTCTTCAGCTACAGCCTGTCAACAGGGAAGCACAACGATGAGCACAATAAAATTAACTTCGCCAAACATAAATTCATGGGTGTTTGAAAATATTTTAGTTTAAAAAATGAATGTCAACTCTCATTAGAACAAATACATAAAAAATGAATCCACCTGTATTACCGTGCCACTTCAAAGAAAGGTTCTACTTGTGTCCAACACTTTGCCAATGTTCAGACAGCTGAGGTATTCGTTAAATATTCCTTGCTATTTATATTGGTTGGTAATATAATCAACATGCATAGCCACTGCCCACTGGTAAAACTGTGCAAATAGGCATAATTACACTACTTGTATAGCAGTACTATCTTTGAAATCATTTTGTAACTAATGTCTGCAAACTTAACTCTTGCATTTGTTGGTTGTTTTAATGTTGGAAGGGACCTCATTTCTCAAACATGTAATAAGATATATACACCCACACACAGTAAAACTGTCAAACGAAATTTTTTTTACCTTCTTAAAACAACATGTAACATGTCAAAAACAGTGGATATGCGACTCAATCTCCAAATCAAGAGCATCTGTCTCCATTGATCTTTCCTTGCCGGCACTACTTATTTGCATGTGCAAGACTTTCAAAGGACCGCACTTTGTACAGTACCACGTCTCTTTCACAATTTCACAATTCTTCATTGCTTTCATGACAGCCTAATTCACTATTCCGCACTGCCATCATTTCCATTTCTTTCTGAATCAATTCTCTTTGCAACGTCAGTTGCTCCGTCCTCTGTCTGTGACCCTTCGCCAGCAACTCAACAAACTTGTATTTTATATCAAGAAGTGGATCTTGATCAATCAGTTCATCATTTTTGTATGCTTCCCTCAGCACCGCAGTCTTAATTCCGCCTTTTAATGACATATAAAATATCCCTGAATGCCTCGTGAATACACTTGAGAATGCATTCGAAAACCTGTACTCATCACAAAACTTCCCCAAAATTGGCACCGGAATCCTCTTGTAAAGTGAAAGTGATAGCAGTTCATGAAAAACCCCCACTGTCCTCTTCTCCATTTCTCGCGAGGCCTGATCCAAATGAGAAGCATCATTATATGGCGATATGTAGGGGAGCTCCATCCAATCTCTAATCCACTCCCTCATTTCCTTCCTAATGAAAAAACCCGATGGAAGCTTCCAATTAAACGAAGGCCTAACTCTTATCCCCGTCAACCTAAATTCCTCCTCTGCTCTTTGCTCAATTGCCGACTTTGCAAAGCTAGAATTCCAAGAAACCAACTCTAAGAATGATTTCCCCTCTCCCGGAGATCCGACTAGCCTGAAATATTCAGGGTGTTTCGGGACCAAATTCACCAAAATATCATTTGGAAACCCAAATTCCCTCTTCACATGTACCAATTTATCAGCACTAACCACCTTATCCTTCGACATCATCAACAATTTACACAATTTCGCAACAATTAACGGCTCATTTTCGATAGTAATCCTTTTCTCTTCTTCTAAAAACTGCCTTAGCCTATCGCTAGCACGAAGAAACATCACAGGTTCAGATTTGGGTTTGATCCGGTCGAGGTAAACATCGAACAAACCAGGGTTCCGGACAAGAAAAGTCTTGACTTTGATGGGTAATCGAATTCTCTCGCGGCGTTTCTCTAGGTACCGAAGTGGGATTACTTGACCAGGTTCGTTTAGGACCTCTTTCACGACTCTTGCACAGAGCCTCCATTGTTTATCGTTTTCTATGGCTTGGTCTAGAAGGCGGTCTTTGCGCCAAACTACTTTGAGGCTTGAAATTGAGGCTGTGAATTGGAGAGAAGAGCGTCTGAGCGCGTTCAAGGGGGAAGATATAGTGTAGGCTTTGAAGAGCATACCTGAGAGCGAATTGAATTGGAGACTGAATTGATCAATGCACTTAGCTATACAAGTTTAAAGAGCTGAAACTTTGTCCAGTGCGAGGAAGAGCTCAGGGAGGTTCAATCCTCGAGGATTCAAATGTCGGCCTGCCGATTAGGTTTCCGATGCATATAGAGGTGGAAATGAATTTCACGGCGAGACAGGAAGGCTAATTGACCGTAAGGGACGTTACCGGCTATTAGCGATCGATTAGGGTGTTATATTTGTGCATTGGGAAATATTACATGAAGGAAAATTTTGCAACAGTCGATGTGAATCCTGAGATTGGTGGGTCCTATTATCATCTAATGACTCACATTTATTTGATGTACATGGTATTGTTATTGTGCATTTACTTAATTTCATGATATCTCATCTATTATTAACAAAAATTATAAAAGAATATATATCAAAATACATCTCACAAATTCTTAGTTATGAATATCTGAACTGGGTAATTACTGTTCAAAAATTATAGTTTAGGTCTTTTATACCTTTCATATATAGTGTTTTGATATAAAATTTTAATTCTTTAGGTAGTGTTTGATAACTAGCTATTTGTGTTTTTTTTTTTCGCCTAAAAAAAAATAATAACGTGTTTGGAATGTGTTTTTTATTTTTTTAAGCTATATTATTTTGAAAACAAGGTCAAAAACTATAAAAACAAAAAGTGATGTTTTGAAAATATCCAAAATTGAAAACACATGCATGCATCCCATTATCAATTAATGATGTACAACATTCGAATCTCATTAGCAACAAAATGAGATTATTTTTGTAGCAACTATAAAACCCCCATTTTCTTTCTTTCTTCCCCCCCCCCCCCCCTCTCTCTCTCTCTCTCTGCCTCCTCTAAAGCCCATTGTCATGAAGATGAAGAGGTGCCTCATTCTGAAATCCACTATCACAAAGACGAAGACGAGAAGATGACGACGAAATCAAACACGAAAAGGAAGACAAAATCCAACACAAAGACGAAATTTATACATAGATCTATATATATATATATATATATATATATATATATATATATATATATATATATATATATATAAATCTACGTGTGTGTGTTTATTTGTGTTTGTGTGTGTGTATGATGTATATATGGATCAATGAATATGTATGTGTGTGTCTGTGTCCATTTATTTTGTGTACCTCTGTGTGTAATTTGTGAAAGTATGTTTGTGTAACTGTGTTTATAAATGTGTATATGTGTGTGTATTCCAGCAAGATCATCTCGTGTGTGTGTGTACGACTATGAAGCGTAGATACTTCATCAAGGTCGACGTACCCGTATTCGATATCGTATCGGATACGATACTCGTCGGATATCAATGATACGTATCGGATACGCATCATCCGTATCCCATAATTAATAAAATATGTGGATATTCGCGGATACTTCTAAACATGGTGTAAGATGTACAATTTTAATTTTAAACTATAACCCTTCTTTGGAGTTCACATACAATATAAAACATCAACAAAATTTTATCTGATTTTAAAAAAACGAGTGTTTTTTAAGTATTATCTATTATTATATGTTAAGAAGTATAAAAAAAATGAATCATTTACACTATACTTTTAAAAATAAATACTTGTAAAACCAATTAGTTAAATGTTATTATAATTCCTTTAATTTGTTATGCTCATTTTATGAACAGATCATAATGAGATGATATTATAACCTTTTCATGGTAAAAATTTATAATTTTACTTACTAATGTTAAAGAATTATTGAAAAATTGTAATTTCTAAGTCGTTAAATAATAATAAAATATAAAATATATTTTATTATAGACGTATCCTGGCTGTACCCGTATCTTTTTTTTAAGTTTTGTTGTATCGTCGTATCCATATCATATCGTACCTGTGTCACGTATTCGTATCCGTGCTTCTTAGGTGTACGATCATCTCGTCTGTATGTGTGTGTGTGTGTCCTAATAAGAATGTCTCCAATTGGGACATTTATTTGGAATTAAAATATAACTAAAATAACAACAATAAAATATTATTTAAAATACATTATATCAAATATGTTTTAATTTTGTTTTATAATTTTTTAAATATAAATGACTTCCAAACATGTTTTATATTTTTAATTTTTATCAAAAAAAATAAAAACTAGTTCTATTTTTTTATTATTAAAAAAAAAAAAACGTTACCAAACGCACCATAAGGGTCCAAAATGTTCCATGGAATTAGGGTAACTGACTCTAGTGTTTCGTCAGTAGCATATTGTTCCATAAAATTAGGATCCAAAATATGGAATAAATATGTGATAATTTTCTTCCATTTCTTCGCACATTAAAATTATAAATAATATGAGGGTTGAGATTTTTGAGATCATTAGGTGAGTTCAATATGCCTTCCATCAAATTTTACCTATCAAAGATGTAATACATCTATCACCATCACTTTAGTGTTAGACCCATTTACTTGACATCGACAGTAGGTCTGTTAAGGAAAGGCAAAATCATATCAAAGATTAACGAGTTTGTCTCAAAAAAAAAATTTCACTTATTTTCAATTCGTTTATTAATTTGTATTTAACGAATTGTGTCAGACCGGGTTGTGTTATTATGAATCGTATATAACTAATCGTATCATTACAAGTCTATTCATTTATAAAACAGAAATTTAAAAAAGAGTAAAATTCTCTAATTTCATGTCATGTTCATGTCGATCATGTCGTGTATTATATTTGAAAGTCCTATTTAGTGGATATACAGTAAAAGAAATTATCTAATCATACAATAATAGTACGTATATTAAGTCAA